GTGACTTTGCGAAAGAACAGAACAGAATTTTAGATGTTTCGAGGCGGGTTGTTGGGTGAAGGAACTTCATAATATTCAAATAGCCACGGGCCGTTAAGATATTTTTAAACAACTATAATATTTTTTACAATTAAAAAGTATTTATATAGAATCTAAGGCTAATGTTGAACGTTTATGCTTATAAATATGTTGATACAAATAATATTAACTACTAGATATTAATGGGGACTTCGTCCGTGTAAATAATAATAAAAAGTATATCCTATGTTACTCACAGATAAATTACCTTTCTAACAGTAAAATAATTTTAAAAATCGGTCTAAAACTAGTATAGATTAGATTTATTCCTGTAATACAATATTTACGTATGTTTTGACAATTCAATAGTAAATCAATATTAATCAAGTAACGTCTAAGTACAGCAAATAGTTAAAATTAATTGCGCTTCGGTTCAAATTAACCGTGAAAACTCTAGTCGTGTCCGTTAATTGATTAATGCTGTGGAATCTACATTTTGGATAGTTATTTTTTTAATAATTGAATTAATTTTCTACCATAATACAAACTGTTAGGCCTAAGTTCAAACTTTTGGTACGAACGTCGGGTAAATTTACATATGAAAATGGAAAAATCCAAAAAAAAAAATCAATAGACTTTCAAAACGTTATTTTGTATTTACTTTTTCAAGTACCTATTTGTAAGTGTAATAAGTGTATTTTTTTTTGTTTATAACATAAGGTGGCAAACGAGCAAGCGGCCACCTGAAACCGCCAAAATGGCGAAGCGACCGCTGCCCATAGACATCCGCAATTGCAGACGCATTGCCTACCCTTATACGACGGAGGAGGAGACGCACATAAAGAGGATATTTCCCCTTCCTATGCATCTCCTCCACCGTCGAATCCACTTCCTCTTCCCAACCTCTCCTTATAAGAAAATGGTGGTAAAGAGAAAGGGACTTAAATTAGGCCTCCGGCACCACACTTATCAGACGAAACACGGAATTGCTTCCATTTCACGCCTGTCTTTTGTGTGGTCGTGGCATTACACCGGGCGTACCGGCCTTTTCGTGCTAAGATGATAAAGCGGGCACTATGTTATTAAATTCACTTTTTTTTTATTAACTAGTTTTCTATGCAAGAAAAGGTGGCAAACGAACGGCGGGAACACAGAGGTGGTCAATGTTTTAAATTTGACCTATTTTTTTGTATAGAATTACATACTAGATGTACGTAATTTTTAATAGACCATATTCATCCGAAAGGTCACATTATCTTTAGTTCTATCGTTATTAAAAAACAAAAGAAGAAGAAGAAATACAACATTAGTAAAATATATGTACGCTTTGTGACAATTTTAATTGTACAGAAAAATTGTTTAAACTGTGCTTGTAAAGGTAAAGCCTAATTTTAGTACCTTTTCCTTTCCAACCTTTTCTTAAGAAGCAAGGATGGGAATTAAAAATTATTAGACGACGGAGGATATGCATAGGTTCGGAAAATAATTTGTGTCACCTCTTCCGTCGATTAAGGGTAGGCAACGCTTCTGAAACTTCGAATGTCTATGGACAGCAGTCGCTTCGCCATTTCGTCGGATTCAAGTGGCCGCTTGCTCGTTTGCCACCTTATAAGATAAAAAAGCTTGTCTGAACATTTAGTCGAGTAGATAAGCAATATAGATCAGTGTATTTCAGCTACTAAACTACTCGGTACTCGACTAAATAACTAGCATAGTGATAACCTGATAACCGTTTACTTCAACGTAAGTTAAACGATGAACGCAGTTAATTTATCTATATAATTATCTACGGAATTAACAGGGCGATCATTAAAAACATTTTCATATGCCATCACGTACGCCACATTAATTAAAAAAAAATTATAATCACTTTACAACATGCCTCGTAAGTTCGAGAAATTTGCAAAGGATTTTGAATATTTAGTTTTAACCAAAAATACTGCGAATGTTTTTTTTTGTTGTTAACTCGATGTAGCCCGCGACTCTATCGTGGAATTAAACAAAAAGTAAGTAGTCTATGAGTTCTTCCAGACTATCCTATAAATTTATACCAAATTTAATCGATATCCGTTCAGCAGTTTAGGCTACAAGGTTTAAGAAACAACCATTCAAACATTCGCATCTACAATTATAAGACTAAATTAAATTTCAAGTGTTATAAAGTTTAAAAGAGTCTGTAGAGTCGAGGCCTATGTCCAATCAATCGGTATTGATTGATTTACAAACTACAGACAGGTCTTTCAAGACTCAGGACTTACATTGCAAAATCGGACAACACATATTTTCTACATAAGAAAATGGATAAGACAATAAAATCTATCTTTACACTCTTTAATTACTACATAACACAAATAAAAAAACATACAGACGAATTGAGTACCTCCTTCTTTTGGGAAGTCAGTCAAAAATTAAGATGCATAGCTAACGACCCAATAGTGTAAAGACAGTTAATATGCGACGTACCCTTTAGGGTAAGGCCAAGCTTTAACTTCAAATTCCATTAATATTTTGACATGTCAGATTGCAAGTGATACTACGAAGCGAAGTGTCTTCGGCCATAAAACAATAAAAATCACTTTTCTTGTGTTGTGTACCACTTGTGTAGCCTAGAAGGTTTTAAATCCCCAACCGTCGCGTTGGTATCTTTTAGTAACCTCCCTATTCAGGAAAAAGAATGATATTCTCTTTAGATTATAACAACGTAAGATTTACTCGTTATCTATACTATTTATACTATTATAATAAAGCGTAAACACACACTTCTTTGTTGCCTAACATGTCAGCAATTACAGCATATTTTTGAATAATTCTTTCTTTAACAAAAAGCCTTACACTTACGTCACGCTTTATGCTATATATTTTCACGCTATTAAACTTAGGGGGTAAATATTTTAGATAAAAACCCTAATGTGGGAAAGAGACCATAAGTTGCTGCCAACATAAAGGAAGCAAGGTTGGCATGATGTCATGTCATTTTGACATTTGTAATTGATAATTTGACAAATCTAAGCAATAAAATAAAATTTTCATAATTTCATGCGGATGAAGCCGCACGGGAACAGCTATAAATAAAAAAAAAACCTAGTAAATCTATTCATTATTCTAGCCAGTAATTCTCCTAATATAAAAATCCATTAGAAAGATTAGTATTCCATTAAATCATCATAAAATATTTATAAACAGCATTTTCATATTTATTTTCTATTAAAGCTATCAAGACATAAAATAATTGTGTTTGCATTAAATAAAATGAAAGCCGTAATTTGAAGTCACTTTAAACATTAAAAAACATTTGTCTTATTATTTACCTGTAAGAATTCTAGAAATAATACTTTTTTAATAATAATTTCAAAGATTAAGGTTAACAAATAGCACAGAAACAAAGGAGATAGCAAGAAAGTTGTCGTTTATTTTTTTATATTTCAAACTAAGATTGATAATTCAAGGTGAGGCTAGAATTTATTTATTTTAAAATCCTATTTAATCAATTTAAATTCAAATTAATTTTATTCATATAAATTTGCCATTTTTCTTGTTAATATTTTCAGTTAGAAATAAGATATCTGTTCCGAGAATACATTTATCTATACTATTATTATAAAGAAGAAAGATTTTTATTTTTGTATGTATTGAAATAACTCAAAAACTACTGGGCCGATTTAAAAAAAATCCACCATTACAAAAGTAATTTATCTGTAACATAGGGTATATTTTTTTACAATTTATTATTTCATGTGCACGAAGTCGCGAGCAACAGCTAGTGTTTAAATTATTTGTGTTGATTTAATTAAATTGCTTTAGTTGACTGGCCATAAACAATTGTTACGGTCAAAGAGTTTAAACTTTTTAATAGACGCGTAGGAAGGTGAAAAATCCTATTTCTGCTAATTAAATGCAGTTCTGTGGATTAAATGTAGGCAACACATCTAAAAATTTAAATGTCTATGGTTAGCGGATACTTTGCCGACAAATTTAAGTGACCATTTCATACTATGAAAACAAGTCATTAAAATATTTAGATTTATCTTAAATATGAAGCCAATATTTTAAAGACAAGCTTTATTCTGGTTTCCTTTCTCTGTATACTTTATTAATAATTGCACAAACTTGTACATTATCATAAAACGTGTTGTAAATCATTAAAAAAAACTCCCGCGACAAATTGAGTGGAACAGAAAAAGATTATTATGAAAATAAATATAATTTTATACGAGAAACGCAATTTGTTCGATGTTAAATGATTTATCGTGACCGGCATGAAATATTCAATTTGATTATAATTAAGCTATTATATCTAAGAGGCTAACACTAGAGTGTTAAAACTATTAAATGTAATCTCTAGATTATTCTAATAGAATAAGAATCGGCCTGATTTTCATTTGTTTTATCAAAAATTCCGTTAGCTTGAAATTTTAAAACCGCACACAATTGTTTAGTCGCGTTTTTGATTCTTTGAGCTTATAAGGAGGTGCACACTACTCGATTGTTAGTTGTGCAACTAAACAGTTGAATTGGCTGCAAAACAATCGACAATCGCACAACAGTTGTGCGATAGTTTGTCAAAAGGATGCGCTCACTCTAATGGTAACAGGGACAAGAGGTTACTCATTCAAGATCTATATAAATTCTATTCTAATATTATTAAGAGTAATGATTAGATTGTTTATTTTCATTGAATGGGCTCCAAAACTATTGATCTGAAGTCAAAGATTAGATAGCTACATTATCACTGTCATAGACTAAAATATAATAAACAGGACATCAACGGAAAGGGTATGGATATGGCAGAAAAGATATAAGACGTATATTTGCCACCCAAGAGAAGTTACAACGGATCGCTATTATAAGACAAGCGATAATTTCCTTTTCCCATAAGAATCTAAAATAAGGTTTTTAAATAAACGGTTGTGTGAAATTCTTTGCGCGTTTTAATTAAATGTTTATTAATAAATCAATTTCCTTTATAGATAATTGTTAATTACCTTCACAGAACAAAACATATATGGTCACTGCACAAGCACATCACTAAAAGAAAAACTCATAATAAAAGGTTAACGTGCGAGCGAGAGGGGCATATCGATATTGTTACGTGTCATTAGCTTCACTGATAAGGTTATCAAGGACCGTTACCGAAAAAAACCGTCACCGACACTCATAGAAAACGTGAAAAAAATCCGGTACACTTTTTTTGTCGACACTTTTTTGCCGACGCTACGTATCCCGTCGGTGTCGTACCAACCGACGGCCGCGCACGATGTCTTTGCGGCGACTAAAAACTTGGGACTGACGGCTCGTAGGCGTTGTGCATCTGTGCGAGAGAGCCTTATGCTGGGCTGGTAGCTGAAAAGAGATAGTTGAACAATTTGTGGGCGTGTGGGGGTGGGTGTGGCTTAAGTTTAAGTTGGCTTAAGCGCGCCAACTTGGGTATAGCGTAGGCAACCTATACATTGAGTCGGAGTCATGTATTATGTGATCCTGCAGGTTTTTGCTGTGGGTGCATTGTCTCCGATGCGTTTTTTTTTACTTGCACCATGATGTATAGAACGACGTGCAGCTAAATTCGCCTTACTATCTCGTATCTTTGAGTTTGTTTAAGGATTTCTGTGATACAAGTTTTTTTGCATTTCATTACTCGGATGTTGTTATTATTTCTGTGAGCTTTTACTAAGCAATGCGGTCCTTTTATTAAATTAACGTTTGCTGGATTGCGCAATATTTAAATTTTTAACAAAACGTGATATTTGGACAGACTAGACTAGACTCTAAATAATGTCGTAAATGATTTAATATCGTTAATAATTCCTGTTAATAATAATTAATTAAGATTAACTTTTTGTTGGTACTTGAAATAAAGTCCCAAAACCGTCATCAGAAACATAAAGGCAAAATTTTTATGTAATAATTTCGTAGACAACGTAGCTTAGCTCCACTCTAGGGATCGTTTCGTAACATTTTGTGATTAATAATGTGGGTATTTTAATAAAATTATTTAAAAAAATGTAGACACATGCTAAAGGTTTAACAAAACATATAAAAAAATATTCATCGATCGTAAGATGCGTAGATCCAACATATTTAAGTTGCTTATTTTGTATTTTTATTAATTTATAGTTTCAAGTTAAAACACTCCACAGCTAATAAATACCAACACGCGTGGCAATCTAATCCATTTTAAGTAATTATAAACCCCATCATTTAAAAAATTAATTGTACCATAAAGCATGTCTTAAAATTGAATAACAAAAATGCTTTCACGTAATAAAATTTAAGATAACGTCTTATTTGAAAAACTTATTTCAAAGACTATTATATTATCGATCATATTGAAATTGTCGTCGAACGATTATTTTTTTGGCCAACATTCATTTTAACTCAATAATTAAATTAACAAACAATCAAAGCCTTGGATTCCCGAAGGCCATTTTATGCTAAATTTGAAATTTCAAATATCGAACGGCCGGAGTTCCAATTTTCAAATTTGAACTTGGGCTGTCCAGTTCGGATGACGCGCAAAAACTGACCGCGCGATGCCCGTCATCTGCCTCGAACAGATGATACCATAGAGTCGCTTATGATCAACATATTTTTTTTGTTTCTACGATTTTCAAATGCTAAGAAAATATTTTATTTAAGTTACTTTTAAGGTAAAAGTCATGTAATACGCTCTTATTGTTAAATAAAATTTTAAATCTGTTAATTCTAATTTCTAAAATTGCTAACTAACTCTTGAGTTAGACTTGATAATGATTATATGCAATATTTATGGTAAGGTTTAATATTAAAGAGTATAAAAAAGTTTACAGTTTTCAAATATACTACAATTTGATTTTTGCCTTTGTATTTATTTCATTAAACTTGATTAATAAGACATTTTTTCTCATACATTTTTAATGTTTTTAATTATAAAGCAATGTTTTAATTTGCAATATCCAGTTATTCGCCAATTAATTAGCTACTTAAATAGTAATTTACATTACAGCACCTCTATGTATTTCTTCGTTCTACTGAAATATGCCGCCTAGCTGCGCAGACTATCAGCAAAAAGGGCCTCCTCACAAACGCTCATTTTATCACATACGTTCCGAGATAGAGAGAGACAAAACACGATCGACCAACTCAGAAAGATCTACATTATCCAATATACATCTTTAAAGGTTTGAATGCATTGCCTTCTTTAGGGCTCTTTACAAGCTGGTTATTATTGTAAGGAGGATCGAAGAAAGCTTTTTGTCTTTGTTTATTATTGTGATGCGAGAAAAGGATGCACTGATGTCAGAAGGGCTAATGGTAGTCCTCAATATTTATGCACAGAACCTGTGCTGAATAATTTCAGTATGTACGTGATTGTGGGAACATGTTATATTACTAAAGATTCCTGCTTACTATAAATACTTATATAATAAAATTAAAACTAAATATTCCTAAAAATAAAAAAACACTCAATTCTAAAATGGATTTATTAGCAATAGAACAGACATAATATTTTTAACTAGTATTTGCCCGCGTGGTATTGGAAAAAAACAAAAGTGACTAGCCTACGTGTTCTTCCAGACTATCCTCTACATCTGTACCAAATTTCATTGAAATCCGTTCAGCCGTTTAGGCTGCAAACTCTAACAAACATCCATCCATCCATCTAAACTTTCGCATTTATAATATTACTAGCTTTCACCCGCGACTCCGTCCGCGCGGAATTAAAAAAAAAAGTATGTAGCATACATGTTCTTCCAGACTATCCTCTACATCCATACATACCAAGTTTCATCGAAATCCGTTCATCCGTTTAGGCTACAAACTCTAACAAACATCCATCCATCCATCTAAACTTTCGCATTTATAATATTAGTATGAAATTGGAATCCGACTCGGTAATTTCTATTAACAGTTATGGATATTAATAAATGAAAAACTAAAAAACAAAAGAAAAAAACTAATAATTTCCATCGTCTAGTTAGGTTATATAAACGGTACATAAGATCGTTGTCAGAGCGAAAGTTTGCAGTTTTGTGGGAATCGATGCTTTTTCTGATCACCATTGTGTCTACACCGTGTGGGAACGGAGTCGTAACACTCTTCAGAGTTAACACTTGTTAGTTATTGCGATAGTCTGATTGCTTTATGAGGTTAAAATGGTATCAATTAGATCGACGTATTAAATAACAGCTAGGTTAACTAACGAGTTAGGATCTACCTTCTTAACTACTCTCTTCCACTTCCTTCTATCCTCAACGTTATCTGAGACTTGGTAGTTGATGATAAAACACTACGTCTTTCCACATTGTTTACTATTGACTTGCTTTCGCCCGCGAATCCGTCCACGTGGTTGAAAAAAAAATAAGTAGACTTATGTGTTCAGACTATCCTCTACAACTTTGCAAAATTTCATCAAGATACGTTCAGCAGTTTAGGCTACAAACTCTAACAATCATCCTTCCATCTAATCTTTCGCATATAGTCCGAGTACAAAATTAATATTAGTTTCGATAGTTTTCAAGTTGGAAAAATCAACAACGACTATTTTGAATATGATACAAAGTAAAATCTTATGTTTATGCAGAAATAATTTAATAAAATACAAATGGAAATGAACAAAACGTGTCAAAAACGTAAGTATTTATCAATTCTTAATCATTTCTTGTTAGTGATGATTTTCATCGGTTTTTATTAACAAGGATTTAATATTTTTTTTTAATAACGACGTCATAAGATTACATGCCTGAATGGATAAAAGGTTTCCATTACATGTATTAGAATTTATAGGAATATTCATACGATCTTTGTGATTCCGGAAAATACGAAATAAACAATTATTGATCATATTTTTATATCACAAGCATTGAGAATTAACGCTGATGTCACGAAAAGCGTTGCACATAACCAAACGTGAACAGTACAATAACAATTGCTATCTCTATTTATTTAAAACAAATGAGAGGGATGACAATACATTTCATATGTTAGGGAGGGAAAAACAAATGAATCCATTCCTGATATCTGTTTACGTACAAGACGAAGTTTACGAAGAAATAATTGCAGTGGTAAATAACTCACAGAAGACGGCAGTAAAGGGCCTGTCCCACCAAATAGTAAATTTTCTGATAACAATCCAACGTGTAAATTGTGTGATGGAAATATCGAATTTTGTTACCTTATCTGACAGTGCCGTCATTTTGAGCTATCTGTGTCTCTATCAGCAAGTAGGACAAGCCCTTAATTTCTAATTCCAACGCAACGATTACACTCAACGAATTACCAGAAATAAAATAAAAAACTCTAGAAATAACGACTAAAAATTAAATAATTGAATATTTAAAAGCGGGTCTGATAGGTCCGGCCATTGTCTTACAAGCTGTGGACAAAAGACTACTAATGAATTTTTAATTAATTCCATGAGCCTTTAGTTTTTGTCTTCACATAATTCTATCATCCGTCATCTCAGTCATCACTCCCTTCTTGATCATGTCACCTTCCACGCAATCCATCCAACTCTTTCTACGTCTACCTCTACCTGTGTACCACACTCATAGAATCCTGAATTAATGTCGATATATCTTGGGTTCGTATTATTACATTAAAAACAAATGAATGGAAACGTTATTAACAATGAATAACAAGGCTTTAAATCATACATATCGTTTAATTAAACCAACTGACCATGTGAAAGCGATCACACGAAGCGCAACAAACTTGTTAGATGTTCGTAGACGTTACAGAGTATAGTACGGTTCAAACTTTATGGCGGCTCGGTAATTACACTTGAAACTAGACTGATCACAGATTTAGTTATAAGTAGGACATAAAGGAATTCAGCGGAATAAAAGAACGCATCTCTAATCTCCATTTCCTCCAACAGAAAAATCCTTAGAGCAACTTCACATTGTGCAAAACTCGAATAATACATAATGTTTCTTATGGAATACTTTTTCTCGCATAACTATTACATATATTATTTATAGCTCTAGCTATATATATATATAACTCGTAGGTATCCACGAGCTATTGTAAAGTTTGAACATTTTAATACAAGGTGTCGGTCGACCACATCTGACCTTTATATGCTCGTACACCTGTGTTTTTGCTCACGTTCAACGGAATTAAAACTGCATAACTTTTATAACAAATGTCACCGTTTCCGCTTGCAGTTTCGTGATAACGTATCAGAATAGACATTGCATGGAGTTTCACGCTATTTTATTTTTAATAAGATTACTAGGAAACCTTAAGAGCGTGAGTCACCGCTTAAATTAATATTTTCCGCACTTTCTTCGTGTTTAGGAACGTTATGGTTC